TGCCCGAGTTGTTGTTCTCGTTGAGGATCTGCTTCTGCTTCTGCCGGTTGAGCGACTGCACCAGGCCGAGCACCACGGCGGCCAGCGAGTACTGGCCGGTGATCTTGCGCGGCTGCATGATGAGCGGGTTGGGCTGCACGCGGCCCAGCAGGAAGTGCGTCCGGATCTTGCCCTCCTGCTCGCTGATGCCCTTCACGTAGATCTCGCCGCGGTACTCGAAGGCGAAGCCGCGCTCCTTCAGGATCAGGTAGGTGTCCTCGGGCACCTGGATCTTCCCGCTGACCCCGTGCTGTCCATCCGGCTCGACAGGTTCACCGTCTTCCCCCAGATGTCGTACTGCGGCTTCTTCGCGCCGATCACGCCCGCCACCACCGAGCCGTGGGCCATTCCTGTGATGGACACACAGAGGACACATGTTCTGATATCGGATCAGACGTTCAACACAAACATCAGAAATGCCTCCAATATTGCCTAAACTACCAGATCTTTAAAAATGAGTAAGCACAAATCTGATGGCGGTAGTAATCATCTTCAAATGAACGTGTTTTATTGACAGGACAGCTGCAGAGAGACAGGAACTGTAAGAAAGAGAGGCTGGGGATGACGTGCACCAAAATTGGTCCACTCAACATGATGGCAACAGGCAGAGACCACAGACTGTAAATATTAATGGAGGAAGTCATTAATAGTGATGTCACCCATCTGTTCCTGCAGGGGGCGCTGGAGGCTCATCAGCAGTGGCCGGCATGTTGGAAATCCTGTCTCAGTCTAACTTTCAGTCAACCTAACGACAGGCTGAGAGCTGGAGCTGAGGCGGGTTTTAAACCTCTTGACTGATCGTTACCTCGCGCCCACCTGTCAATCATGTCAGCTACACGCCTAACTATGGATAACACGTATTGTTTTCAAAATCAAAACACAGCCGTTTTTTTTTATTATTCACCCCCTGTGCAGTGTGTGACAGTGATGACAATAAGTAATCAGACCTATTTTTGGTGTGTATGTGTGTTTTGACTTCCAGGCTATTTCTATGTTTTATAAATATTCAGTTTTTCTGTAATTCAGCTCCCCCTACTGTATAGGGGTGGTTTTGCATCACTTCCTTTAGCGAACAGGAAGTAGGAAGTTTAGTGTGCACATGGTCTAGAATTTGTGGCAGGAGCTGAAGAGTAAATCTGGTGCCATCCAGTTGTTTCTCCAGCAGAGGCATTGCTTGTAAGTTGTTCAGATGTTTATTTAGGTTTTCACCTTAAGATATTGGAAAGTATCTTTGTAATATTATTACATTTGCATACATTAATGCATGTCATTTAAACAATTAAGACACATCTACAAGCATAAAAGCATCACTCTACAGTATGTATCTATACTCTATGTGGTGCTCACTCCACCAACCAGCGGCCAAAGATTAACTGGACTTCTTCTCCACCTTGTAAATAGAAAACAAATACACCTGAGCGTCTCGCTTCAAGCCCGTCTGTTTCTGTTTTCTTTCTATCATCATTAAATCCAGTCCACATCTGGAGTTCACAATTCTGCAAAGTCAAGTTTAAAACAGCAGCCAAAAACACTGAAGATGACGAGAGAGGACACTGAAAGCAAACTAAAGATCTCACCGATCCTCAGCTCAAAGTTGTTGAATGAGTGTTTGTTGATCTCCTGGATGCTCTCCTTAAGAGCGATGGCGAAGTCGGCCAACGCACACAGGTGACCCCATTTATCTTCACATTGCTGTGGGAGGAAGAAGAGGAAGAGTGTGAGTCAGGACTCAGGCTGGAGGGCGGCAGGTCAGATGTGATACCCAACGATCAGTGATTCAGGACCTGGAGGGACTCACCTGTTTCTCCGGAGACAGACCGGAGACGGCCATGTAGGTGCTGCCGATGGTCTTGATCTTCTCGATGTCCACGAAACGTTCCTCCCCGAGCAGCTGTGACAAACAGGAGGAGGTCTTTAACATCACAGACGGTTTACAGTCAGGATCAGAAAATCTCCTGATCGTGTGGAACTTGACGAGCTGTGAGATATAAATCCATTTCAAATCCTGGCATGTAATGTGTGACACGTGATTCAGGGTTATTTAGGGTGCAGTCACAGTAGGTAACCCGTCCCGTGTCCGAGTACGTTTGAGGTCTAAGTGAATGCAGGCCAGTGGGGGGATCGGGACAGCTGGGCCTAGTGTTACTTTTTGTAACAGACCCCAAAATATTTCTAATGCAGGACCAGGTTTTTTAAAATGTATTAATTCTGATAAATGAATTGTACAATTACATAACGTGGTGTTTTGAAGCAGCTTGACTTCAGACTTGAACTTTAACTGGAGAGCCCTGATGTGAGTCATTATACTCCTCTTTTCAACCTTCTTATTTCATGCAGAATACAGACGGCTGCAGCAGAAATAAAGGAGGAATAACTCACTATGCTCACTATGAGCACCAACAACGTCTAAAAGTGACCGTGCCCGTGCTGCAAACTGCATCCAGAAAAAAGCTGCTGTCGTGATGATCGGACGATGAGCAATTTTTCTTTTTTAACCTTTATTTAACCAGGAAAAAGTCTCATTGAGATTAAAAATCTCTTCTACAAGATCGTCCTGGCCAAGACAGGCAGCAGCACAATTACAGGGTTTCAGACATAAAACACTTAACAACAATGAACATAAATACAGGAATCACAAAAAGAACCAGTTCATCAGAATCTGTCAGAAGTCATCAGCAACAAAGTGATCAAAAAGGGGCAATATGAGTTAGCTCAAACATCTACAGTCAGATGTTTCTGCCTCCAGATCATTAAGACGACCTTTAAAAACATTCAAGGAAACCAGCTCCCGAAAATTTAAAGTATCTTGCAACCGATTCAAAGAAGAGGGAGCAGCATACTTGAACGCCCTTTTTCCTAATTCAGTACGGGCTTTAGGGATGGTTAGAAGGTGTAGATGGTAACTTCCTCTACTTTTTTGAAGTATGTAGCTCTGTAGGTAGGATGGAAGCAGACCGAGAATACCCTTATGAATAAAAATATGCCAGTGGTTTAGTCTACGTGCAGACAAGGCAGACCAACCAACCCGAGCATACAAGGAGCAGTGGTGAGTAAGGGCTTTTAGATTAGTTGCTATGTCAGCAGAATGTTTGACTAGAGACGATCAAAGTAAATCTAACAGATTACTCAGTCTTCTTAATTTTTTCAGATTGTTATTGTCTCTTAGAAAAGTGCCGCTTGGATTGCACTCTGTTCTGTCCCTGATGGACAAAAGCAAAGTCTGCTGGTGTTTGAGGGGAAAGTGTGAGAAGGAGAGTAAAGGGTGGCCTGAGGCAGCAGACAGCTCAGCTGGTGTCTGTCTGTCTGTCTGTCTGTGTGTGTGTCTGTCGCTGCTCTTATTAGGAGACTCTGACATTTTCTGTCAAAAAGTAAAGTTCCTCTACGCTTCACTTTGTCCGCAGGGACCCAGGATGTGCCAGAGTTTTTTCTTCTTTAGTAACTTCAGCGAGCGTGCGAACTCATACTGAGCCTGAAGCTCTGACAGGAACTGACAACATGAGTCATGTTTCCTGTGTTTCATTCCTGCACATTTAAAATCAGTACGTCTTTGTGCAACTTCCACTGACTCAAAGTTTAAAAGTTCAAATCTTAGAGTCAAACCAACACATGAATCCTCCAATTAAAGATAAACCCTGACCTGAATGTATTTAGGTGTCAGATCTTGAAGTGTAGCGCGTCCAGATTGAGTTGTTTGATTTTTAAATTGACTTTGTGTCTTATTTTGAGTCAGAAGCAGCAGGAACACTGCAGGATTTCTGCATAATAAAGTCTGTCCACGTTGTATGCCTGTGCTTGTGCTCGTTCATGAACTGCACCGGGCCGAAGCTCACCTCTTCAAAGCATGCCAGGGCCGAGGAAGTGTACCGTGCGCTCATATAGTCAAAGGAACTTTAGAGGTGAACTGTGCTTGGGCACGGTGTCATGATTTGGTTTCTTATTTTGTAGATTTTCTTGTTGTATTTAGTTCTCATTCTTCCCTGATGGTGTTGTTTCCCTTGTGTGTTTTCTAGGTTAGTGTTTCATGTGTTATTTTTGTAACTTTGTATCCTAGAGTTTCTTTATGTTCTAGTGTGTTTTTGTTACTTTCTTGAGTTCTGTGCGTCTTTAGTGTTTCATGATTTAGTTTGTAGTTGTATTCCTTCCTCTGTGTGTTTCCCTCCATGTTGATGACCCTCATTGCCCTCACCTGTGTTATTAGTCTCACCTGTGTTTGATTATCCCTGTGTCTATTTAGTCTCTGTGTTTCTTCCCTTGTGTTGTCAGATCATTGTTGTAAGTAGAGTGTAGTTTGTCTGGCTATGTCAGTGTTTCTAGTCTTTCCTTGTGGCTCCTTGTTTTCCCGTTTTGGATTTTGTTCTTGAAAGTTTTTGTTTTGCATTTTGCCTCTAGCCTTTTTGTTAAAATAAGTTGTTTTTGTTAAGCATCTGCACTTTGGTCCAGTTTGTTCCCAATCGTGACACACGGTACGGCTTGCCTAGTTTGAGGTAGCCCTTAAATCTTCTGTGCTCCCACACAGGTGTTACAGATTGAGACCATGATTAGACCTCTTCTCAGGAATATGTGGACGAGTTTGTTTGAGTGACGGTTTCACTGACCTTCTGTAGAAACTCTGAGGAGTGGGACCAAACCTGAGACCATGCAGCTTACCGTTTAACAATAGAAGTGAATCTGCTGCGACTGTGTACAAGAAGAAATCTCTGCTCTTGTATTAAATCTTTCCCCTTGTGTAGGCCATGAAAAAGCGTCCCTCACATTTGGTACATTAAGTGTTTATGCCTCCTGATTCCCTGCAGACGGGAGCTCGCCCGTTTGTTTCTGCGTTTGCATGAATCTGATGTGAAGTGAAGAAGACGTTCCATCAGGAATAAAGATGTCGGAGGAGTCGCAGGCTGCACGTTACAAAAAAAAAAAAAGTCAAGCTGAAGTAGAAAGTGGGAGCACTTCAAAGTCTGCAGCCTCAC